CTCTGTGCACCAGAACTGGGCTGAACCGTGGAGGAGGAGGACTCGGGATGCACACAGAAAATTCAGTCTCTTGAGCCTGAGTCAGACAGGGACAGCCAGCTTCCCTGTTCCTCCTCAATCCCAGAAAAACAACACAAATCATGCCTTCTGGAAAGGAACCTGTCTTTTGAATACAGAGCGGAAACTGTTTATAAATTCTTAATCCCCTGACATTGAAAGTATGGTGACCGCCTGTTCTGGATTTTTTGGGGCAAATGTATTCATTATACCACATGTCCTTAGTTTTCATTGTGGGAAAAAAAAATGGTCTCCAGTATCCTAAGGTCTTCCTTAATAGGTCAAAAAGCAAGTCTTCGTAAGCAACATATATTGAAACCTTGAGACCGACGAAGGCTGCATCAAAACGTTGTGGGGAGGAGGGATTGAGAATCAGCCTCTACTTTTTCACCCTTTTCTCCTTGGATTTTAGGCTAAGATGACATAGGCCTTAAAGGTTGACTTTTTCCTAGTAGTAAGATCAAGTAAGCCTAACCTGACTCGACTGCCGCCTTCAGTAGGTAAAAAGAACTACATACACAGAAAATGCCTCATGGTATTTGTTACCATGGTGACGTTAGTTCAACATTTCATCTGCATAAAAATTTTAGGCAAAACAGAATAGAGAAATACTGGCTAAGAAGCAGTTAACAACGCATTTTTTCCTTGCTATTGCAAAGTTAACGTTAGCTTTGGTCAAAGACGGTAATTTGAAGTGAAAGCCTTTGAAAAATTGCAGACAAGCGAGGATGAAATGGCAACCAATCCATTGGAGAAATCTCCCAATATCCTCTTTGCACTGTAACAAATTACTCTCCCCTCAGCTAACATGGCGCATTTGGGGCGTCCTCACTCTATTTACTAGTGAGAAGAAAGTGGTTTAACAAAATTGCGGATGATCCAAAGCCAGAAACTGTTGGCATATACCAGCTTGGAGGGAAAAGCGATATACAGGACTCTAAGGAAGTTGGGGACTTGGACAAAAGTAGCAGGACAAGATTCAACCTAGAAAATGGCAGGTGGTAACAAAATTAATCCATATTATTAATATGCACTGGGGAGAGGCGTAGGCCATAAAGCTAAGACAAGAGAGGAATTTATAACTTTATGTACTAACCCCAAAGTTAAATATTGCTAGAAGGTCCTAGAGACTGAAGCTGGGAGGAGGCTGAGGTCTCTGAGAGAATACAACTGCAAGTGAGGGCTTACTTCCTTACCCCCTTCCTTTCTTGACAGGATCTTAAAGTCAAAGAAGGTGAAGAGGCTAACTATGCTGATTTACAAAGACAGCCAGGAGGAACTACATCTGGGCCAATTCTGGACGTCCGAGCGGGGGCGACAGGACCCAGACAACCACCTCAGGAAATGAGTAAACGAAAAGGGGAGGTCGTAGAATTATTTAGCTCTAGAACAACGCTGCCTAGGCGGGGGTGGGGGGGAGGGGTGGAGAAAATCTCAGGAAAGGAATTTTGACAGTGAGAACGCTAGTTAAGACACAGCACTCCAGGCCCCCTGATGCCCCTTGTTTGATGTCCATAAAGACCGAGAGGATTATGCATTAGCAAGCCTTGTGTATTCTGAGACATCAATAAAGTCTGGACTTGGGGCCGGTAGGGGGGCCGGGGTCACGTCCAGGCGACTTGGGTCAGCCTGGGTGCACTTCCCTGGCACAGAACTAGAGTGAGCGGGATCCGAGAGTTGCTGCTAGGATAAAACCTTTTCTAAGTTAAGGACTTTAAAGCAGTAGTACTGGGGAGAGTGAAGGGGGGGTTCTCTTGAGGGCTAGGAACGTGGGGTCGGCTGGAAGAGGAGCTGGGCCAGCGCTGCAGGCGCCGGCGGCTGGGGTCTGGGGACCGGGGGGCGGGGGCCGAGGGCGGGAA